AAAAAAAAAAAAAAATATACATTCATACAGGTTGAAGGAAACTCCCTCTTTATAGCCAAATTTAGCTCATTTTGGTTGCTGGAAATTTATGTTCAGGATCTCATTCTTCACATAATACGCACATGCAATATTTATCAAAGGGGAATGCTAATGAATGCTGATGGGGGTTTGACAGTGATGGTAATGAGCAATCCTTTTCAATATTACTTTTGTTTCAGCTTAAGAAAGAATTGTTCTCTTATGAGCAACTACACCTGTCCAGGTTTTGAAATTTACAAGGTAACCCCTATAATCATCTCTAGAGATACATAAGAATTAGAATTGCCTATCGCTTCAGGTTCATTAATCTATATACTTTGGCTGTCTGTATGAACAATAAAAATCTTTAACCATTCCGACTAAACCACTAGCTAAATGAGGCCATCAGAGTCAACTAAAAGAATCACCCTTGGCCAATTATTTATTGTTGAATTATTCTGACCACAGTGTTGTCACGGGGCTGCACATGCTTATGACAGAATTTTACTGTGATACTTTGCTCAGTAGGTTCTTTTTCATTAGCAAAGGTTACGATAATTTCATTCCCTTTTGGCTTAATTGTAGAACTCAATCAAGTCTAGGGATTTTATTTCAAATAATAGGTTCTTTCGGGTCTTTGTTATATTTTCAGTTGTTGATGTTGGGGGTCATCAAGTGTCAAGTTGACTCTGACTCAGAGAAACCCCATGAGACAGAGTAGAACTCCCCCACAGGGTTTTCTTGGCTGTAATCTTTACAGGAGAAGATTGCTAGGTCTTTCTCCTCCAGAGCTGTTGGGTGGGTTTGAATGCCAACCTTCTAGTTAACAGCCGAGCACTTAACCATTGCACCACCAGGGTACTTTCATAACTGAAAGGTTGACTATACTGAATTAATTTATACTGATGAAAAAAAATGGTTTATTATTGGAAGATGCTCAAAAAGTTTTAAAAAAAAGTATTACAGAAAGGAATTTACCACTAGATAGATATTGGAAATAAATAGATATTGGAATTTACTACTAGATAGAATATTTAACATAGAGCTAGCAGTGCCACCATCAGCCTATAGAGCATTAATGTGCAGATAAGAACAGGCTCAGCCTGTTCTTGTCCAGGTGAGTGGAGGCTGCATTTTAGTCCCCACTTACCTCCTTGGTCTGGTGCTCTTACTCAGTGTACAACCCACACAACCGTAAAGGAGATTCTGCAAGGTATATCTCATTGTACTTCAAACCCCATGTTTCTCCACTTACTGGGACATAGACACAGACATAAAAGATTTTTAGATACAAAATTTTGCTTCTATATGTTTGAATCTGAAGAATTGCAGTAATTCTTTACAACCCTGGATCCCTGGATTTCCATACATAAGGAATGGAAGAGAGTTTACTTATTTCACTTTTTTAGGCATTGGTTTCCTATGAAATTCTTTGTGGCCATTGGAAACCCCAAAGAAATATCTCAATAGCTGGGAGGCTACAGAGGAGACTTCTGAGTGAAGATACAAGAGCTTTTCCCAAAGAATTAATTAAGGTCAGAAATGAAGTGGCAGAATTTCAAACCAATTTTCAAGAATTTGTAATTTATGAACATCTTCAAAGGAATGAGTGGAAAAAGAAGGGTAGTAAAAATAGTTCCAACTCATTTGTCAGAGCAAACAGATTTATGTCATGTACTTAAAGTCTAAGACTGTGTGACAGTCAGCTGCTCTTTGATAAATCACTGGGCTCAGAAGTCATTGAAAAAATGTCACCAAGTAGCACAAGGTTGGAGGAGAATATAAAGTTATCTGACTTTTGAATTTGATTTAATTTGCAGATAAACAACCTTTTTTAGCACAAGTCAAAAAGAATAAATAAGCACGGCTCATAATAAGCAATGAGAATAAGTTTACTATCTTTCCTAAAATAGAGCCATGAAGAACCTACAGGGGGTGAATGCAACTCTTGTTTGATTACACCAGCCCTTCAGAAAATATTCTAAATTTAAGTATATGTTTACTTTCCCTGTTATTAAGAGCCCAAAGGCCAATCGTGTGCAATGTGACTAATTCAAAACCAAAAACAAAGGGAGTCATAGAATTATAGATTAGTTTAGCCAAAAGGTCCATATAAATAATCTCATCCACACTCCTCTTTTCACAGTGAGTAATCTGAGGCCCAGAGAGATGAATTAACTTGAGAAGTGAGGTAACCAGTACCAAATCACAAGGTTATTTGGCGGCAGAGCTGGGACAGGAATTCAGGTTCAGTCCCTTTCCATAACCTTCTTGGGACAAAGAAGCACCTTCAACTTAGCCTTTGATCAATAAGCAATATTATCAGAGGGCAAAAAGATTCTCATCAAAATGGAGAAGGTAAATTCTGAGCAGATGTTTCGACAATGGAGGAAAGGAAGAGAACTGCAGACATTGAGAGCCCCAGTGGTGTTGGGATGCCGGGTGTTGGATGTCCATCCACAGACTGCCATAGAGTAAAAACCAGGTATTAACATGCAGCAGTGGGACAGGACCAGGGGATTAGTAACAGGAAAAGAAGAGACTGACTGAACAGAAAGCACCTTTTGATAATTAGTGGGGTGTTGAAAGCAAGGCCAGGACTAAGGACAGTCAATGAGACACTTGCCTCAGACACAAAGTTTAAAGGCATGTAAAAAAGCTCAGTAATCAAGATAAATAATATTCTAATGCAATATTTAAAAAAAAATTAAAATATATAAAAATCCGTGATGAACAAAATATATAAATTTTAATAAAAGACAAGATCAACACTATTGCTTTCTCCTGTCTTACCCTTTATACACCCTTAACTCACTTCCACTCTTCCTTTCTCCAGACCCCCTGTGCCTTTTATCAATCTACTTGCAATTCACTTGTCCTGTTCTAAAACTTAGTCTCGTCTCTTCCATTATTCTTTTCTTTTCCCTGCTCTCTTGTTCTCTCCAGAATTGTTTTCTTTTTTTTTTTTTCTTTCTTATTTTCTCCCTTTTTTGACTGGTCTTGTTTTTTCCTTTTGCGGTTATCCTTCATCTGTATCTCTCTCTCTCCCTTAGCAAGGCATAATAGAAAACTAGTTTTGCAGATTTCCTTATATATAAAACTGTTAATGTTTAATTGTCCATATGTACTCTTCAAGAAAATGTAAAATTTTTCATAGTTGCTGTTGTTGTATATACCCTCGATTGAATCATTTTTAATATCAGTCCTGGGCAAATTACTTAACCTTTCTTTGTCTTAGTTTCCTCATCTGTATAGTGGGGCTATATCTACCTCATAGGGTAATTGTATTAAATGAGATAATATACATCAAGTGTAGAAAATAGTGCCTCATACACTATATACTATACATATGTTTGATATTGTCGTCATTATTATTATTATTATGATTACCATGTCTGCAATTCAGAGTTCTTAAGACTTCTGTATTTCTCTATAAGCTGTATCCATTTAAAATAATTTAGATTTCAGAAGCTCTAATTTTGCTAGTTTATTGTGGAAGTAACTTTACATATTTTTATAAAAGTTTTATTACTTTTCAAAACAGTGTTATTGATTTAAATGTTTCTGGAATTAGGTAATAGGATTTACTAAAATTAATATAAAAAATCAGACTAAATTTGGAATACAGCAGCCTCATTTTACATTATTCACAAAGGAAAACTCTTGTAATTAACTTGACTATCACCAACTAAATTTTCTTTTCTGTACAAAACTGCCTTTATTTCAAATGAAGCGAATAAAACCATGTAAATAGTATTTTCAGAAAAACAAATTCCTAAAAATAGCTACTGTGTGCTAAGGTAAACATACAGAAATTACAGTTATAGTGACTAAATTCCCAAATCAAAGATCTGATTGCCTCCTGTGATGTTTAGGGCACATTATTTGACACTGATGCAAAAGTTTAAAATTTAAGGCCGTTTGGGAAATTGAGGGCAAAAGATGGGCAACTGACCCCTTCAAATAGGATACCCAGCACTAAAGCTGCTACATAGTACCCCCGATAGGCCTCTGGGAAACTGCAAAACAAGCACCACACACACACACACACGTGCACACACACACACACACACACACACACATACACCCCAAAGCCTGAATGTTATTTAAGTGTTCTTTTTTATCCAAGTTTTCTTTAAAAACTTTTAACGTCAAATAAACTTTTAAAATACATTAAACTAATGTTTTTGTCTTGGCTTCGCTTAAAGGTAAAAGTTTAATTTTAATTGGAAAACTAATGGGAAAAAGCTTAGGAAATAATGAGAGATGCACACAAAGATTTCCGAATGAAGATGCTTACTGTAGCACTATTTTTATAAGGGAAATGTTGGGAACAACCTATTTAATAAGAAGGGTTAAGTAGCAACAGTGTTTTCGTAAGTAAATAAAATGTAACAATTAAACTTATGTTTTGAAGAAGTGACGTGATATGGGAAAATGATCACAGCATAAGTGATAGTGGAAAAATATATATGTGTATGTGGCTATATGTATATGTCTCTATATGTCTATATGTGTATGTGTGTCTATGAACGAAACCAGTTGCCATGAAGTCTATTCTGACTCATGGTGACCCAATATGTGTCAGAGTAAAACTACTCCATAGGATTTTCAATGGCTGATCTTTCAGAAGTAGATGACCAGGACTTTCTTTATATATAAACTCATTGCTGTCAAGTTAACTCTGACTCATAGCGACCCTATAGGACAGAGTAGAACTGCCCCATATGATTTCCAAGGAGCAGCTGGTGGATTCGAACTGCCGACCTTTTGGTTAGCAGCCAAACACTTAACCACTCTGCCACACACAAATGCTATAATCTCAATTAAATAAAACTGACCAAAACAAACAAACCAGAAGAAAATATACAAAAATTCACAATTTTATATCTGTAGAGACAACATAATTTCTTCATATATTATTTCTATGATAACATTTTCATTAGGAAGCAATTATAAATGAATTAAAATTATTTATAATTCTCCATTTTATTATAATTTTGTACTTTTCATAACATTTTTCTTTTATTAAAGGTCTATATGACCCTAAACATCTCTCTAGTACTTTAAAAATAAATTTAGTCATATATTATCTAGTATAAATAATCATATGTAAGATTCTCACCAGTTGAGTTTTCCTGAAGTTTTAAAGTTTGTCTTATCTGATGTTGTGCTTTTCCTTTTGCTCCCAGTTGTACCATTCCAAGAGCCAAAGTTGTCCCAAGAGGGGAAAATATAATGTTGTTCTTGTGAGATAAACAAATGGCTTGATAAAGATCCACTGCAAATTCAGTATTTCTTTGAGTCAAGGATCTTGAGGCTTGACTTCCAGAAAAAGCCAATAGGAGACTCCACAACAAGATCGTATCCATTTGACTTCTGTGCATTATTTAATTCGCAATGTATTATATTTCAAAATAATTAGAGTTTAACATACTTAAGCTCAACAGAAACCTTCCTATCTTATTAGAATGTTCTGTCTTGTTAGAACTAACTACCACAAGGGTATGTAATGCCAGTTTTCTGACTATACATCATCTTTTAGGAGAAATAGGCTATGTATTAATGGTAGTTTTTACGTTACTTCACGAATGAATACAAATATATTTGCAATTTTTTAAACAAAATCAGAGAAGACATTGTAATTCTGTAACATTATAGATGGCAATATTCTCTCTGAATAGCTATATAATTATTTTTCCTATCCTTTCTCATGACTTTAAACTGAGTATCTTTAACTGTGAAAACTAAAGAATCCTCTGTCCAGGCTATTCTAAAATCTTTTATGGATAAAGAAGAGAAATTGAATAAAAATGAACACACTTCAGTGTGTTTTTGGATCTAGAATGTTAGGAAGGTAATGTATTCTAAATTAAATGTGTAATCTGACTAACTTTTTACAATAGTGATTCCCAAACTTTAAGAAATCCCACTTGTCTAAGGAAAAATACCCCAAGGCCTATGTCTTACTTTTCCAAAGAGAGTGTGAGGGGGAAAAAAAAAAAGAACACTGACGAAAATTGTGGAGAAACAAAATGACATTCAAACGTAAACACCATAGCAATAACAAAAAATAAAGCAACGAACAAAAACATCAAATAAGAATTTGACAAGCAAATTACCAAACATAAGACTAGCAGTAACTGAAAACCATAACCAATTCATAACAACACTAATGACATTCTATTAAAATGATCTCCTCTAAAATTGCAGGAAATGCAACCATCTGATACCCTAGACTGAACGTATGTTGCAATTTTACCATAAAATTGTTAGTAGAATAGTGACTACAAAGGCGCCACAAATTTTAGTATCACTAATTTTAGTTTATAAATAATAAAACCCATAAAAACCTGTTGCTGTTGAGTCAATTCTCTACTCATAGCAACCCTATAGGACAGAGTAGAACTGCCCCATAGGGTTTCCAAGGAGCTGCTGGTGGATTTGAACTGCTGACCTTTTGATTAGCAGCTGAGCTCTTAACCACTGTGCCACCAGGGCTCCTTATAAATGATACATTTTAATAATCCTAATTCATTTAGTATGTTACTAGAAAATATCTTTGACTGGAGTAAAGATGAAAGCCTCCAGAATAGTGTGTTGTTAGCCATAAAGAAATAAAGAACTGTATTTCTAGAATATTTGCAGGCCATTAGGAGAGCTGCCATGGCCCACTAATGGGTTAAGCATCATTAAGAATCACTATTATATAGAAACAATTATATAGAGAGATTACTAATAGTCAAATATTCTCTGTGGAGTCATTCTCTAAATATTTCAAAATCTGTTTGTAGATATGTAAGCAGTCAAAATGTTATTAGTACATTTAAGGCATCAAATAACAATTCATTAGGTATATGTTTATATACTTGGTTTATATTAGAATAATTAACAATATTATGAAGGATATAATTTTGTAGAAACTGGGTATCAGTTTTCCTCTCATTATTATTAACAATCTTAATAATTAAAATTTATATTCTTTGAGCATCCTAGGCACTTAATAAATTGCAACCTCACACACATAATTTGCTTTAAAAATTCACTTACTTCATTGGGCTTTGGATCCTATCTCAGCAGAAAACACAAAATACTGGTGAATTAAATAACCCAATGAATAGTCTCATAAGAATTTGACCTTCTAATCGATAGTAACATCTTTTAAGAAGACTAAAATTAATGCATTTAACTTTGAAAATTTTAAATAAATTCTGCACCAAAGTGAATTAAAATGTCATTTCTCAACTCTACTAAACATTCGCAAACAATGTTATTGATACATACTTCATTCAAAAGTTGTTTATTTTTAAGGTATTTACCCAAAATTAGCTTCTAATATTCACTGTAATGTTACAACTAAAATATGCTCGCTGGGAAACACTCGTACCTGGAACACCTGATCAGCAAGGCCAGCTCTATTTGTCATGAAGTTTGCTGGATTAATTCCTCTAAAACCACAACAGGTGTTCACTACATTTATATACAAAGTCTAACATGATCAGGTTAATGATCAATGTTGAAATATGAAGAAACTAAGAGATAAAATAATGACAGGATTTAAAAAAAAAATCATTGCAATTCTATTATTATTTCATCCATTATTCCACTTCTTTTATAATAAGTAGAAACAGAATTTATAAGAATGTGCTAGAGGTTGTAAATTTGCTGGTAATTAGTTCTTTTTGTTTCTCACAGGACTCCCACATCAGACTACCAATGCACCCCCTCATAAATATTTCAGAATGCCTATGAGGAAAAGAATAAATCTAAATCAAGTCCAGAATGCAAAGACAAATTACTGCTGCATTTACAGAGTTCTCAACAATCCATCAAATTATACAATAGTCAGAGGAGTTTCCTGTGGATACAAAGCCCACTTGAATCCTTCGGAAAAAGATTAAACATTGAAGCAATATATTCTTTATGTTGAGGAAAAAAACACGTTAAGATTATTGATTTACCAAATTACATCAGTATAATACTAGTAAACGTAGGTAATTTGATAGTAAACATTGGTGTTACTTTTCTATGCTTTAAAAGTTCTACATGATTTTCTCTACAAAAAGGTCATTAATAAAAAATGGACTCATAATTGAATAGGCTTTGATCTCATCTAGTTCAAATCAATCACCTGTATGGTAATAAGATATTAAGCACATTGTACTATTCACCACTGGCCTCTAAGAAGAGAACTGGCAAATTTGGTTGAGTTACAATTAAATAAATATGTCCTTACTGATCATCAAATGTAATATAGTTTCTGATTTTTGCTGTTGTTGTTGCTCTTGGCTGCCTTCACATCAGCCCACAAACATGACAACTTCGTGTGTTGCAGAGCAGACTGCTCCATAGAGTTTTTTTGGCTGTAGTCTTCACGAAAGACGTTTGTCAAGCCTTTATCCAGGGAGCCACTGGCTGGGTTTGAACTGCAAACCTTTAGGTTAGCAGTCGATAGCAAACCTCTTGCGCCACCCAGGCTCCTTAAGGCATTTATTTAAATAGTGTTTTCAAGGACCCTGTTAACTTCTAACAGTGCCTTAATAGAGCAGTAACTGCTAAGAGGACTGAGAAATTTGATGACTACTATAGGCATAATTTCCTATTTTACAAAAATTCTTAATTGCCCATGTAGCCATCTCCAAATGTTTTCTAAATCATAGGATTTATTCTATTAACATTTACTCATACATAAGCAAAGTCTTTTCCAGTTTTACCTTAACACTATTAAGAGATGATTTCCAAAAACAGAACTGTGAAACACAAGAACACTACTATCATTTTTGTCCTACTCTTCAATATATAAATAATAATCCTGAATGTTCAAGACTATCATTCAATCAATACTTTTCTCCCTATGTAGTGACACTTGGAAACATCTATCATGAGTACACCTGGCTACCAAATTATTATGTCTGTATATTACTCAGATCATAATGTGATTTATCCAAGAAAGGGCCATTACTTTTCTTCCCATGACAGAGACAGCCACTCTGCCTTATTAACACCATTCAATGAAGTTGTTCTGTAAGGACCTTGTGTTAGAGTAGTTCAAGCAGAATGTACATTTTCCTGTCTCTTGGGGCGTAAAAAGCTATGGCCATGAATTCCTCCTCTCTGGTTAAAGCTCTTTTAATAGACAATAAAGATACCATAATTATCCAGAAATTATTACTGCAAACCTTTTAAATATTTTCACAATTCTGCTCCCTCTACAACTCTGTTTTTTCTCTAGAGCATCAGAAAAAAAAATTATTCATTAGTGGGAGCTAAAGTGTCTTGGTATAAATCTCTTGGGCACCATTACTACTCCACTGTAAAGGATAAACCTGGGAATCTGCCCTAGAATACTAGCAAGATGTCACAGTTATAATTTCATCACTTTTCTTGGAGTTTTATAATTTTTTTCAAAGCAAAAATGTGCTTAGTTTCAACCTTTAGAAACATACAAGAAATACTGTAATTCAAGAAATACTCTAAAAGAGGACTTAAAAGTTCATTCTTCTATTTGAGCATGGATTAATTTCGGGAAATTTTTCTCTGTCAACTTGCTTCTTATATTTTGAGCAATAAGAGAAAAATGTTCTGAAAAGATAACAGGCTACATTATATTTAGTGCAAATCTACATACTACAAATAAGGTAGCACATTGAAAATAATAGCAAATTCTATTTTAATGTGACAAGTTCTTTTCACTGTGGAAAAATAGATCTTAAATAATTGGATTTAAATGTTAACTTCAGAAACCACTTATAATATCTTCAGTTCTGTTAACAGACCCTGCTCCATGCCTAACACAATTAGATGCTGTACGGTACAAAAGAAAAGTAAGACATAAGAGTTATTTTTTTTAAAAATTCCTTTTCCTTCTGTATGTATTTTTGTTCCAAATTCTTAGAAACAGTAACCTTAAAAGAGACTCTCACATCTTTAAAAGATTTATTCTCATTGAATATAATATGATGCTTCTTCATTCCTTTCACAAGAGGCCCTGAAGTTAATCAAGGATGAAGCAAGAGTTACACAAAGCATAGTACCCTTGCACACATAGAAGGTGTTCAACAAACAATTTTCATATAAATTAATAAATTCCAACCACCTTTTCCTTTTATCCATTGCCTCTCAAAGGTTATAGAGAGAAGATCTCTCCATATGAACCAGACTATTTCAAAGTAATCATTTCAAATGAAGCTATCTCCAGGGGCAAAAAGTAAAATATGTCTAGTGAAAGAATTTAAAAATTATAGCAGAAAAATTAGTAGGCTCATTCAATTTTTGCTTAATAAACAAACCATTGCTTTTTATCTGCCTTCATTCTAGAAAGCCAGGAGCAGGAGAAGCATGTGTTATTTATATTTGAATCCCTGGTGTCTGTTTT